CGCGGGTCGCCCACACCCCAGTCCTGCCCCGGCCGGGGCTGGCTCCGCGCACGTGAGCGCCCGGCAGCCCCCGCCTCCGCTCCGGCTCTAGGGCCCGGAGGGAACTGGGGGCGCCAGGATCCAACCCCGCCCCAAACCCGGCGTCGCCTCCCTATGGGTGGAGAGGGGCCCTGAGCTGCCGTGGGACCAGCAGATCTCCGGGAGGCCGCGGGTGGGGGCTGGGTGGGTGCCTGAGCTTACGGAGACCCTGGGTGTGGAGTGGGGATGGAGCAGATCTGCTGCCGCGTTGGTGATTCTGGAAGCTTCGTGAAGCCTCGAGCCGGGGCCGGGAGGGAAGAAAGGTCTCCCGGGCCCTGCGGAGGGAAACACTCTGACCGCCGCCCGGAGGAGGGGGAGCCGCGGGGGAGGGGAGGGCGAGTGGTCAGGCGGTCCGCCCTGCTTGGCCCTGAAGGAAGACGGTGTGGATAGCTGGGGGACTTCCACGGGCAGCCCTGGGCATGAAGGGCCCAGGTTCTGGGGACAGGTAGGGACAGCTGGCCGCGTGTAGGGGTGGCTAGGTGGTGGGGGCGGGGAAGGGCAGGAATGGGCAGTGTGCGCCTGGGAGGTCTCTGAGGTGGTGAGGGGGAGGATGGCAAGGAGGTGGGGCAGCCGTGGAGGGGAGGTGGGTACCCAGGGCGGGGGCGCGCTGGAGGGAAAGGGATTGAACGCAGCGCCCGGACCCCTGCATCTCCTATGCAGCTGGAGAACTGGCAGGCTTGGGAGCCTACGGCAGGGGTTTATTTCTAAGCCAGACCTGCCCTAATGAGAAAAGCGTGATAGATGACTCAGATACGGATCTATCAGGGAGGAAACCATTAAGCAAATGGAAAGCAAAGATGTGTGTCTGTGTGTGTGTGTGTGTGTGTGTGTGTGTGTGTGTGTGTGTGTGTGTGTGGATATGTGTGTGTTGGGGTTGTTATTTGGCTTAATTGAGAAAAACTACCTACAAATTGAATGTAAATAATTGCAGATAAGTCTGATTTCTTTATCAGATTAAGGCTCCAGGTCCTTTTCTTATAAACTTATCTTTAGTCATTAGTTTCTATATTAGAAAGTGATGAAAGGGCTTTTTTTTTTGAGTGGAGGTCGAGGACTTGCTCTGTGACCCAGGCTGGAGTGCAGTGGCATGATCACAGCTCACTACAGCCTCTACCTCCTCAGCCTCCCCATCTCCAGGAGTTGGGACTACAGGTGCCAGCCACCACTCCTGGCTAATTTTTTATTTTTTATAGAGATGAGGTCTGGCTATGTTGCCCAGGTTGGTTTTGAACTTCTGGGCTCAAGCGAAAGTGCTGGGATTACAGGCATGAGTCACCATGCCCAGCTTTGTTTTTTAAGAGAGTTCTCTATTAAGTTTTGTCTCCTCTCTGGTTCCCTCTGGCCTCCCAGAAATCCCTAGGAAATCTGATGCCCTGCAGCCTTCCTGTTAACGTGGGGCCTATAAACAGTGGGGACATGTTGGAGGCCAGGGGAACTGAAGTCTAAACTTGAACCTGAAGTCTAAACCTGTCAACCTGTCAGTAGGGTGGGGCTTATCTGAATGCAGAGAGGGGTGGAGGGCCATGGTCCTGTGGGGCGTCACGCGGTGGCTCACGTTTCCAGCTTGTTTGGGAATGGGAGTATTTTGGGTGGGTACATGTCCCTGCTCTCTGGAGTTCCTGAGCTTAGGCACGAACACTTCGAACACTTCGGGTAACTGTTAGCCGTGGAAATTTACATATGGCACAGCTGGCTTCTGCGGTGGAATGTGAATGAACTTTTCTTACTGACTTCAGGTCAACCCCGTGAGCCTCAGTTTCTGCACTGAGGGGCTGTCCAGCGAGGGGATTCTTGAGGGAGAGAGCTATCGCCCCTGCATAACGTGACCTCAGTGATGCTTCCATCGGGTCAGTGACTGATCTTTGGAGTTCTGTGTCTTGGGGGCGTTCCTGGTGCTTCTCCTGCCCGCAGGAAGCTTTTCCATTTACTCTGGACTCCGGTGCTGGGAGAAATCAGACCCTCCAGCTTGCCAGAGGTGAGAAGACTGGGTGAATATAGCCCTGGAGGAGAGAGGGTATTGGGATTTGAGAACCCCATTTTCCTTCCTGTCCCTGTCCCTCTTCCACTCAGTCCAGGTACCTGATGGCAGCCCGTTGACTGAATGTTTCAGATGCACAGATCTCTGACTGCTGGGTCGGGTGCTTTAATGTTTATGGAAAGGACAGTTACAGAAGTGTTGTCCCTTCAGAGTCATTGCCTGTGGGGGTCTGTGTCCTCATTCTGGTGAAGTTGACTTCTTGTTGTTTTTTGTTTTTTTTTTTTTGAGTTGGAGTCTCACTCTGTCGCCCAGACTGGAGTCTCACTCTGTCGCCCAGACTGGAGTGCAGTGGCCAGGAGCGGCCACTGCAGCCTTGACCCGCTGGGCTCCAGCGATCTTTCCGCCTTCCAAGTAGCTGGAACTACAGCTGTGCGCTACCACGCCCGGCTAATTTTTTGATTTATTGTAGAGATGAGGTCTCGCCAAGTTGCCCAGGCGGGTCTCAAACCCATGGGTCAGGCAATCCACTCACCTCAGCCTCCCAAAGCACGGGATTACAGGCTGAGCCACCAAGCTCAGCTGAGCTTTGGCCTTCTTTGGAGGGGTGAGTCTTCATTCTTTGGAGTGGGATTTGGGCTTGACACCGAGCTGGTCAAGACTGGGGATCAAAGATGTGGTGTGACAAAAAGAGCCAGGAGCTGGAATTCCACAGCACCAAAGAGCCTCCTGGAAAGCACTGTGGGACAAGTGTCTGGCCCATTGCCGACTGGTGCTGGGTTGGACATAAGGGGTTTGGGCCGTGGGCAGAAAAATGACCAAACCCAAGCAGCTTTTGAGATTATGACCACATGGGGCTGCTGAGCTGTGGATCTGAGTCACGAGGTCAGGGGAGGAGGGGAGCGGCAGGGAGGATGATGTCACTGCCCAGGGGCTCATCCTCTGTGTGGGTGGTGATTTCTCAGTGCTGTTAATTTCCCACACCCCCAGGGCAGGAGTGGCAGGAAAGTCCACTGGCAAAAGAGGGCGGGCACAGCCAGGGGCTGGGGAGGAGGAAGGGCATGAGGCTTGGTTTTCATGATCTTTGAGAAATTTCCTTTGGTCTTGCGGCCCCTCATATCTGGGAGACGACCACATGCACTTCTTTTTTTTTTTTTTTTAAATGAGTCAGGGCCTCACCGTTGCTTAGGCTAGAGTCAGTGGTGCGATCATAGCTGACCACAGCCTTGACCTCCTGGGCTTAGGTGATCCTTCTGCCTCAGTGTCCCAAGTAGCTGGGACTACAGCCTCGGCCACCATGCCCAGCTAATTTTATTCTTATTTTTATTTTTTGTAGAGAGGTCTCACTATGTTGCCCTGGCTGGTCTCAAACTCCTGAGCTCAAGCAGTCTTCCTGCCTCAGCCTCCCAGAGAGCTGGGATTACAGGCATGAGCCACTCCGCCCGGCCCACATGCCTGCCACCTCCAGTTCTGTTGCCCCTTAAGTGTGCTAGATAGGAGCATTGGGTGTTCTGGTTTTGGGAGTTGGGCTGGGTTGGGGGCTTAATAGACATCATCTCATTTAATCATCACATAATCCTATGATGTAGGGTGTCATGAGCACCCGTGTACAGATGGGGAAACTGAGGCCCAGAAAAGGCAAGTCACATGCCCAAAGATTCACAGCTGGGAACAGTGGAGCTGGGCTGCCGTCAGCCTCCAGAAGTGGCTCTTTCTGCCCCTGTGGAGGCCAGCGCAGGCCTTCTCTTTATCTGGAGCCTGGCAAGCTGCCTTCATAGGGAGGCAGGGAGGATGCATCTGGGGAGCCGGGAGAGGCCAGGTCTGACCTGGGTGACCCCGAGACTAGTGGTCCTCACAGCAGTCAGGGCCTCTGCTGGAAGATCTTGCTCTTCGGAGGCCTGGCCTTCATCACATTCTCCAGGAGGCCCCCTGTGCCCTCTAGTTCTTACCTGTGCTCTCAGCCAGCTGTCCCCTTCTCCCTCGTTCTCTTTGTACTCCCGAGAATAGATGCCGTTGGGCATTGGCCTTCCCTACCCTGGTGCTTTTGGCCGTTGATCATTGGCCTCCCCTACCCCGGTACCCTTGGGCGTTGGCCTCCCCTACTCTGTGCCCTTAGGCGTCAGCCTCCCCTACTCTGGTGCCCTTGGACATTGGCCTTCCCTGTCCCATGCCCTTGGGCATTTGCCTCCCCTACCCGGTGCTCTTGGGCGTCATCCTCTCCGACCCCAGTGCTCTTAGCTGTTGACCATTGGCCTCCTCTACCCCGGTGCCCTTGGGTGTTGGCCTTCCCTAGGAAGAGGGAGCGGATGTTGGAGGAAAACAAGGTGAGAAGCCTTTTTGTTGGGAGCCTTGGAGCAGTGAGAGACACTTTTCTGGGAGGCTGGGGTCCCAGGTCACCTTAAAGTCAACGCAGCCTTCTGGGAATGGGAGCTTCCTTGTAGTTTGGGGGATCCTGTGCTGAGGACATGGCAGCAGTAGGGCAGGAGGCCACATACTGGAGCTGTGACCCAGCCTCTGGACAAGGCAGAGGACCACCAGGGAGCTGGACCTGGAGATTAAATCACGTTTTGCATTTGCTGCTTTGGAGCTGGGCAGTGGGGGGCTCTAGGTGAAAGAGTCATGGTTCCAGGCACCCAGGCATATAGCCTGACAGAGGAGGTCTTGGTAGGGAATGTGGGGTGGGGGGAAAGGGGAGGCTCCATGCAAAGGGTCCAGGAGATCTTGTGCCCGTGCCTGTGGCAATAATAACAGCAGGCAGGGTGTGGTGGTTCATGCCTATACGACTAGCACTTTGGGAGGCTGAGGAGGGAGTATCACTTGAGCCCAGGAGTTCAAGACTAACCTGGGCAACATAGTGAGACCTCATCTCTACAATCATTGTAAAAATAATATTGGTAATAATAACAACAACAACAGGAGCCATCATTGCAACCACTGTTTTGGTGCCAGGTGTTCTCCTGAGTCCTCTCTGTTATATTGTCCTATTTTAATCTCCCAGCAGCCCTGTGGGGTAGGACTTGTTACCTTGTTTAGAGATATGGAATTGAATCTCAAAGACATTGAGACAGATTGAGACTACACTTGGCCATGTGTCTAGCCAGCCTGGGGCAGAATTTGAACCCAGGTCCCTTGCTTCTGAGACTATCCTGTACCCTGGGCAGGCAGGGCAGTCTGGCGATTCCAATAAACAGGTGAGGAACCAGGTGTGGTGGCTCATGCTTGTCATCCCAGCACTTTGGGAGGCGGAGGAGAGAGAATTGCCTGGGCCCACAGGTTCTAGATCAGCTTGGGCAACGTGGCGAGACCTCGTCTCTACAATAAATCAAAAAATTTGCTGGATGTGGTGGCATGTCCCTATAGTTCCAGCTACTTGGAAGGCTGAGGCAAAAGGATTGCCTGAGACCAGCAGGTTGGCCACTGCACTCCAGCCTGGGCAATGGAGTGAGACTCCAACTCCAAAAAAAAAAAAG